AGGACAACACGGAACGTGCGTGATTTGGACGCGATGAGCGGGGGGGTTTTAGTGGAGAACGCGCGTGAGCTGCGCCTGCGAGCTGCGCCTGCGAGCTGCGCCTGCGAGCTGCGCCTGCGAGCTGCGCCTGCGAGCTGCGCCTGCGAGCACCAGAGCCTCGCTGCGGCGAAACTGAGGCTCCGTGTTAAACTGTGGTAACATGAAGAGACGTTTGGGAGCCGAAACAGCCGGCGCTTTAAGAGAGCCGAGCCAAATGATCCGGCTCACTAACGTAAAGAGATAGTATCTATAAGGGACGGCTCAAGTCAAAATTCAAAACAACCCCCCCCCCGCTCTCGGGGTGGACGCCCTCTCAGCCCTGGTCTGGCGGAAACACTGGCTAGCGTTCCAACACATTGTAAGATAGGCTAAGGGGGCGGGACATCTCTCAGGGGTCGACCAATCACAACCACTAAAAATGAGCATAATACAGTATGTGTAATTTAATAAACCTTCTGTTTCTGTCTATGTATCCATTAAATGTTCTACTTTCAAGTATTGCCAAACTGTTGAAATAGTTACATATCAAAATGTGTGTGTGTGTGTGTGTGTGTGTGTGTGTGTGTGTGTGTGTGTGTGTGTACCTGGTCCAGCAGGGGCTGCAGCAGTGTGTCTGCTCTCTCTCTGCTCAGGAACCTCTGCGTGTCGTAGAGACAGATCTTATAGAGACAATCCAACAGGAAGTGAAGCAGGAGACACACCTTCTGACTGCTGAGGGACGCAAACAGGGGCTCACCTGAGAGAAACATGAGTATAATTCATAAAATAAGCAATTAAAGTACAATAAAATATAGCCAAGTTATACGTTTAAAAAAGGCCAGGAAAAAAATGGTTAAAATATTAAATTAATTGTAAAATAAAACAAAATAAAAGGAAAAGTTTAAAAAATAAAATACACTAAATATAAAACTAAATAAATATGTAACGAAAAACTTAAATAAGGGACAAACAAATAAAAGAAAATATAATAAAATAAATATATTTCAATGAAAAATTTATTAATAAAGTTAAAACAAATAAATATGTAAATGAAAACAAATAAATAAAAAATAAATATATTTTAAAATTAAAGTGAATTAAGTTGAATTAAAAAGTATATCCAAATATAACAAATGATATTGGATTAAATATATAGATAATGATCTCTCTTGTCTGAGAGCAGTTGGTTATAATATATAATAAAACTAAATTAAAAAAATATGTCCAAACATATACAATTAAATTCAAATCAAAATAGTAAACAAAAATAAATAAAATACAAATAAAGTAAATTAAAGAGTATACCCAAATCAAACAAATTATATTGTATTAAATAAATTAATAAATAAATATCTCACTTGTCTGGGAGCAGTTGGAGAGGGTCAGCAGGTCGGCGATGGGCTTCACCAGATTCCCAGCAAACAGAACGAACAGACTTTTGAGTTTCTCCGCCAGAACGTCAGACAGCCGGAAGAACGTTAGCAGACGCTCCTTACTTCCTGTCTTACTCCAGTCCAGCAGCTGCACAAACAACAACGCAGGTCACATGATCAACAACAATAATAAGGTGTGAGTGACGACCTCTGACCTCAGGTAGAGACTCACCTTGAAGAAGAGCGGTCTGAAGGTGACCTCCGATAGCTTCAGCACCATCGCCAGCAGACAGTTGATCACATGACCCTCGACCTCTGACGTCCTCTGGAGGTCGCCCTGAGGACAGGAAGTGGAAAATGATAAGTAAAACATTTGCTCTACACACATCTTCATCATCATCCTTCTCAGGAGTACAATAATACAATACAGCTTTATTTATAAGGCACTTTAAAACCTCCAGACCAAAGTGCTGTTCAGTCAAATAAACAAACAAACATAAAAAATGAAAAAATCACACAGCTCACACACCATAAAACAAGTACAAGTAAAAACAATAGACAATTTAAAAGCAATAAAAAGCAACAATCTACAAAATGTCAAAAAACTAAGGAGAAGAAGTGGGTTTTCAGAAGCGATTTAAAAGCAGACAGTGTGGAGGCCAGTCTGATGTGCAGATAGTCACGGTGTGGGAGCCGCTACAGAGAAAGCACCCTCTGAGACCTGGTTCTGGGCACATTCAGGAGGATCAGCTGACCTGAGAGGGTGTAGCAGCTCAGAAAGGTAGGGTGGGGCCAGGCAATTGAGGGATTATAGTAAAAAAGAGAATTTTAAAAATAAATCCTAAAATGTGTGGGCAGCCAATGGAGCGAAGCCAAAATGGCGGAAATGTGCTCGTATTTACGTGTGCCAATTAAAAGCCTTGCTGCTGCATTTTGCCCCAGTTGCAGACGAGCAACCCCCATGTAAAGAGAGTTGCAGTAATCCAGCCAAGTGGGGACGAAGGCGTGGATTACCATCTCAAACTGCTGTCTGGGGAGGAAAGGTTTTATTTTAGCTAGCTATTTAGCTTTACCGCAGCTTTGATCTGAATCAAGTCTTAGTTGAAGCTCCATTTTAATTTCAAGGTTCGTAAAAGTGGGCTTGGTGTACTGAGCCAAGGAACCAATGTCTACAGAAGTGATGCCACCAAAAATGATAGTTACGGCTGTAACTACGGTTAAATGACTCCCGGATGACCGCCAGAGGCGGTGCTTTAGCACTGGATATGTCCATCGCACGCATGCGCAGTTTGAGTACCTAATAACAACAAAAGTCACCTGTGACCCACGTGACGACGGCTACATAGGCCGGCGTCATTAGCGGATCGGCTCCCAGAATCTTCTCGCGAGCACACAAGAATTCTGAGTGACAGGAAACTCTGGCGGTCATCCGGGACTCATAGAACCGTAGTTAAAGCTGTAACTATCGTTACATTTCGCCCCTACTGACCGCCAGAGGCGGTGCTTTAGCACTGGATGACTTATACCAACCATGTCATGAAGAATCCAAGCCCTTGCTCACTACTGGAAGCAGCGGAGCACGGCAAAAGGACCACGCCCAAAGAATGGGGAGTGGCGACATTAACCTGATAACAACTGGAGAATATGCCAGAAGACGCCCACGACACCGCAGCGCAGATGGTCTCCAGGGGCACCACTCTCAGGGCAGCCCAAGATGTGCAGATGCTCCTTGTAGAGTGGCATCTCAGCCCAGATGGAAGGGGGCGGCCACTGGCCCCGTAGGCATGTGAGATGGTATCGACAACCCAATGGGGCAGCCGCTGGTTAGAGGGCAAAACCTCCTTTAGTGCCGCCAAATCAAGAGTTGTTCCGACTGCCGTATACGGGCAGTAGCCTCGATATACGACCTTTGGGCACCCACAGGGCACAGCACCTTCGACGTGCCGTTCTCCTGAATGTCAAAGCGTGCCAGCTAGGCAGGCTGATTGAAGTGGGTTTGTGGAAGCACACTGGGCAGGAATGCCACATTTGCCCAAAGGGCAAAACCTGAGAGTCCCACCTCGGGCATGTATCGTTTATGGAGAGGACATGCAACTCCCCGACTCGCTTCCCTGAGGCTATGGCAAGCAGAAATGCTGCCTTTGTGGGCAGCCACCTAAGCCCCACCTGGGCCAGGGGCTCGAAGGGAGGAGATGATAGGGCATCCGGCAGCAGGGGCAGGTCCCAAGCCGGAGCCCTCGTGGTGCTAGGGGGACGCTGCCGTAAAGCCCCTCTCATAAAGAGGGACACCGACCTGTGTCACCCCGCCGTGGCGCCGTCGACCCGAACATTTTGGGCAGAAATAGCAGCCACATAAATTCAGAGTGGAGTGAGAACGTTCACTATCTAGAAGGGACTGTTGTCTAAGCAACAATGTACATGCTGTCCCCAAGGAACACGCACATTCTTGCCCCCCAGTTGGGGTA